CCCAAGTCACAATGATAAAACTTTTAGCGTAGTTAGAATATACTTAATACCTAATGCTCTTGAAGCGCCACTAGACGTCCGCGCATGAGATACGCAGTTTAGTGTGCCAGGATAGTACATATTCCATGGTATTTGATACTCACAACGTTCAATGCCCGATTCACGCTTGATGGACGAAGATATTATGCCGAGGGCTTAAATAGCGTAATAGCACACCTCCGAAAAAGATGAAATTGTTTGCGAATTTAACGCCCTAGCCCGAAATGTAAAGATAATTAACAACAAATCGGTTAGCCTCCTAAGTGTTCCTGTTCTGGATGAGTCCTTTTAACGCTTAGTCACTAAGTAGATTTTAAAATAATTTAAAATTAAAAAATTTGTACAGACAACTTCAATATAAGTTATTTAAAAATAACTCAAAAACTGTTGGTTTGACCTTGATCAAATTCATATGGGACCACACGAGGACTATCAGCTTTCATATAAAAAAGAATCATCGAAATCGGTTCACCCAGTACAAAGTTATGAGGTAACACATAAAAAAACATACAGTTGAATTGAGTACCGTCTCCTTTTAGGAAGTCGGCAGATTAAAGGAATCCTCTAGTCGTATAACAGAAATTAGCACACACATGGCTCTGTGAATGCACGTCCCATTTTTAAATCGACTCGATCATTTGAATAAGAAAATGGATTGAAATTTTAATTTGTCCTTTAATTTTGCTAATTGAAAAACCAACGAGAAATGCTATTTTTATTAAATAGGCTATATACCTCAAGAATAGTTCCTTTTAAATAAAATTTAATAATTGCACACTTGATAGTGAAAAAGTATGAGATGAAATCTTAGAAATTTAAACTGTTGTTCTAGTTATTACACTGAGGTTGTGATGTTGCTAGTCCACTCAAAAGACTCAAATAATTAATCTTAAAAAAATGTAATGAGTAACCGACTTCACAATTCTATAGCTTAGGTGTATGTTCAGCGGACTTTGATAGGCTGTAATGATGACGAAAAAGATGATAATACTTAAAATAAAGCACTTTTAGACGCCAGTTTTCAAAAAAAAAATGCCAGAAACGTCGAGAACTATAAATAAGAAAATTAAACGTGATAAAGACCGTAAAAATAGTTTTATTCAAATATGCCAAAAACCGATAAAATAAATTTCCTCTGGTACAGTTTTGAATTTTATTTATTAAGTATGGCAGCTGCGCTTCGCGGTTTCAATTTGTGAATTTATTACTGCAACACTGACAAGTTGATTTGCGCGAGGAACGCGTTCCCGACGGGTTTCAAAAACCGCTACACGCACGGAAACATGGAGATGAATAGCCCAAGTTATTCGATGAAAGTTATTGCTTGCGTTGCTTGTTAGATTTATGGTGGGATGGTGTGTGTGGTAGAATGTGTATGGGTCACAGTCTGGTAAAAATTAATTAAGTCCAAACGTACACAGTAAAGTTCACATTTATTCACTATAGACAGTTACACAAAGTATAGATAGTTCCACACGACATAATATACAAATTAATAGCTATACAAAATTGAAGGAGTAGAAAGCGATAATATAAAACAAAACTATAAAAGCTAGTATTCGCGATAAAATAACGGGACACTCGGTTAACCAGGCGACATGCGCTTCGCGTGTGAGGTCGGTAAGCAGACTGGCAAACGCGGTGCGAGGCGTTGAATGCGCCCGCGCAAGGGACTTCGTTCTAACGGTATATGTATCGTTGTTTAGCGCGTTTCCATTGCACAACAAGGCGAGTGTAAATAATTTAGTAAATATATATAAAATAAATCATAAGTGTATAATATATATATATATGTACGTATAATATACAATAAGTACGCTACATCACTCCCCCCCAGAGACCGTCACTACGGGTGATAAAAATCTGGAAATCGAACTGTGCGACCTGAACGCGTCCTTCTGACGTCATCCTGAGCTGGAGTATTGAGCTCTTTGGGACATTGATCAAGGAAGGAACCGAAATTGGGGTCGGATGTGAGAGTGGGATTAGGGATAGGGTTGGAAGCTGGGTCAATCAGCATGTAGGCCGGTTTTAGACGGTCTATGGATACCGTGACGCTTTTACCCTTTATTAATATTTTGAATGTTTTCGCATTACGCTCTAATACTTGGTACGGACCAGTGTAAGGGGGCTGCAATGAGCCACGTAATGCATCGTCCCTTAAAAATACATGACTTGACGCAAATAAGTCCTTGTGTATAAAAATCTTTAATTTATTGTGACGCGCAGCAGGTGAAGGTTGCAGCTTTGATGTTATTTGCCGCAGTTGGGTGGTAAAGTCCGATATATCTATTGAGCCGGGAGCTGCGGCTTGGAAGAATTCGCCTGGTAAACGTAAAGGCTCGCCGTAAACTAATTCGGCTGATGATGTTCGAAGGTCCTCCTTAAATGAGCTCCTAATGCCCAATAGTATCAGAGGCAACGTGTCTACCCAATTGCTATCAGCGTGGCACATTATGGCTGCCTTTAACTGACGGTGGAATCGTTCCACTAGGCCGTTGCAAGATGGATGATACGCGGTTGTTCTACGATGCTTGAATCCAATCATCTTTCCAAGGTAATGGAAAAGTGACGATTCAAACTGTCGACCACGATCAGTGACAATATCGGTTGGGCATCCAAATCTGGATATCCACGATATTAATGCCTTTCCAACTGTCTCGGCTGTTATGTCTGCCATTGGTACTACTTCGGGCCATCGTGTGAAACGATCCACCGCAGTCAAGCAATAGCGGTACCCCTGAGAAACAGGGAGGGGGCCAATAATGTCCACGTGAACGAAAGTAAATCGGGCGCGGGGTAGATCAAACGTGCCTAATGGTGACGAAATGTGACGATGAACCTTAGCGCGCTGACACGCCAAGCATTGTCGAGACCACTCACGACAGTCTTTACGAACGCCAGGCCAGACAAACCGCTCTGCTACTAATTTAGCACTAGCATTGGCGCCTGGATGGCTTAAGCTGTGAAGACTGTCAAAGAGTTGTCTTCTCAACGGCTTGGTAACAAAAGGCCTAGGTGTAGACTTGCTGACGTCACAATAAAGTTGCAGTTGAGAGTTTGGAATTCTCAACTTTTCCAGGCGGAGTGAAGATTCACCTCCCAGCAGTTGAGTCAGCTCTCGATCAGATGCTTGAGACGAAGCAAGCACGTCTAAGTCGATAGGTATCTGCAGTTCTTCGACACGTGACAGTGGGTCAGCGACGACATTGTCTTTTCCCGATATATGTCTAATGTCGGTCGTAAACTGCGAGATATAATCAAGGTGACGATATTGCCGAGGCGAACAATTAGCTTTCCTTTCGTTGAAAGCATAACTGAGCGGCTTATGGTCTGTAAACACCACGAAATGTCTAGCCTCTAGCATATGACGAAAGTATTTGATCTTTCGTATATTGCTAAGAGCTCGCGGTCGTAAGGCGAATATTTTTGTTGAGAGGGACTCAACTTCCGCGAGAAGAATGCTAACGGTTGCCATTCCCCACCTTTTAATTGCTGCAAAACTGCACCCATTGCCAGGTCGGACGCGTCTGTTACTAGCGCCAGTTCCGCCCGACAATCTGGGTGTGCGAGTAATGCAGCATCAGCAAGGCTTTGCTTGCACCTGTTAAAGGCTAAAAGTGCGTCACCAGTCAGATTCACTGGATGAGACGCCTTAACAGAGCCGGCAAGAAGTGCATTCAAAGGGGCTTGAATTGAAGCTGACTGAGGTAGGAAGCGTCTGTAAAAATTGAGCATTCCTAGGAATCGTCTAAGCTGCCTTACCGTTTTAGGCACGGGAAAGTTCTTTATGGCTTTTACCTTGGATTCAAGAGGTTTGGTGCCAGATGCAGAAATTTGATAACCTAAAAATGTTACCTCGTTTGCGCCGAAGACGCATTTCGATGTGTTGACAAGAACGCCATATTCCTTCATGCGAGTGAAAAGTTGATGAAGGTGGGCTTCGTGTTCTGTTTCGTCCTTGGAGAAGACCAAAAAATCATCCAAGTAGGCATAACAAAACTCAAGACCTCGCGTCATCTCGTCAACAAATCTCTGAAAGGTTTGGCTCCCGTTCCTCAGGCCGAAGTTCATAAAGGGAAATTCAAACAACCCAAAGGGTGTAGTAATAGCGGTCTTTTGTATATCCTCCTCAAAAACTGGGATTTGGTTGTACGCCTTCATTAAATCGATGGTGGAGAAGACCGTACAACCAGCGATGCTGTGGGAAAACTCGTGTATGTGCCTAATAGGATAACGATCTGGAATAGTCCGTGTATTAAGCATTCGATAATCGCCACAAGGGCGCCAGGCGTTATTTTTCTTAGGCGCAAGAAGCAAGGGTGAGGCCCAGGGACTTCTAGAAGGACGTGCGGTGCCATTTTTAATCATAAATTCAAATTCCTGTTTGGCGATTTTAAGTTTATCAGGTGCCAGCCTACGGGGTGTACATGATATGGGAGGTCCTGGTGTAGTCCTTATGTAGTGTACCGTATTGTGCTTTGGAACCACCAGCGTGCCTGAAGGGCGTGTTATTTCTGGGAATTTCTTTAAAAGATTGTGATAACGTGTGTCGCCTGTCAAAACCTTGATAGATGAGATATCAGCTTTAGCGAAAGAAGCAATTGACGACAATGTAGTAGTATTGTCAATAAGGCGTTGATTGCGGCAATCTACAATTAAATTATAAAAGCTAAGAAAGTCAACACCTATAATAGGTTTGGTAACATTAGCAACAATGAATCGCCAAGCAAAATTACGTCTTAAGCCTAAATTTAAATTAAGCTCTATAAAGCCAAACGTGTCAATTACCGATCCATTCGCGGCGCTCAATTGGTAATCTGTCTTGGTTCGACGCTCTCGAAGTGCAGAACGAGGGTAGACGCAAAGGTCACTGCCAGTATTCACCAAGAACTGGGTGTTCGAGCTGCGGTCGGTTACAAAAAGGCGACCCGTTGAGGAGGGGCAATCGTCTGCTGCCATTAGCGACTGCCCTCGGAGTTTCCCGACTTGCCAAAATCGCAGGGCTTCAAGCACCTATGGGCCTGTGCTCCATACTTTGCGTGGTACCAGCACATCGGGTATTTACGATAACTGGAATTGGATCTACTTCTCTGCCTCGAAGAAGAACGATGACGATCATGCGCTCTGGAACGACAACGACTGGTAGAACAGCATGCTGCACGGGTATGCTCTTCCAATTTCAGTGTAAGCTGCTGCACCATCTTCTTCAACTCTGCAATGTCATCGGACGGATAAGATATATGCACCTCACGGGAAGATGTAGCAGCGATGTTACATGGTGACGTCAGCTCCTGTATCCGATCAGCTAGGTCCGCAAGTTGCTCCAGTGAATGTGTCGGCTGCGATGCCAGCACAGTCTGGATATTATGTGGCAGGCGATTGCTCCAAATCGACCTAATGAAGTCCTCAGGAACTGAAGGACCAGCCAAATCCTGAAGGTGCCTCAAAAATTGTGATGGCTTCCTGTCTCCTAGCTCTTCATGGGTCAGCAACTGTTTCACCTTCTTTTCATGGGAAGCTGAGAGACGTTTGATAAGCTCTGACTTAATCTTGGCATATCGATTATGAGCTGGAGGATTGACAATAATATCCTTCACTGCTTTTGCGTATTGAATATCCAAATGATTGGTCACTTCCGTGAACTTAATGGAATCATCAGTGATGTCATGCCTAGAAAACTGACCTTCAATAAGCGCGAACCAAAGTTCTGGATCCTCAGGTGAGAATGGTGGCACTTTTATTTTTAATTTGGGTACATATTTATTTTCATGTTCCGTGGAAACGCGCACTGGGTGTGTCCGTCGTATAGTGACTTTGGCATCGTGGCGCGATCCAACCGTTTTCGCGGAGTCACTGCTATCACTCATCTTAATCTTCGTGTCCTTATCGGGGTCACCAGTTATGGTGGGATGGTGTGTGTGGTAGAATGTGTATGGGTCACAGTCTGGTAAAAATTAATTAAGTCCAAACGTACACAGTAAAGTTAACATTTATTCACTATAGACAGTTACACAAAATATAGATAGTTCCACACGACATAATATACAAATTAATAGCTATACAAAATTGAAGGAGTAGAAAGCGATAATATAAAACAAAACTATAAAAGCTAGTATTCGCGATAAAATAACGGGACACTCGGTTAACCAGGCGACATGCGCTTCGCGTGTGAGGTCGGTAAGCAGACTGGCAAACGCGGTGCGAGGCGTTGAATGCGCCCGCGCAAGCGACTTCGTTCTAACGGTATATGTATCGTTGTTTAGCGCGTTTCCATTGCACAACAAGGCGAGTGTAAATAATTTAGTAAATATATATAAAATAAATTATAAGTGTATAATATATATATATATATATATATATATATATATATGTACGTATAATATACAATAAGTACGCTACAGATTAAATTTTTTATTTAAATAAGTTATCTTAATGTTAAAGTTACAGCGTATATGCGTTCCACAGCTGGACACAGCCCGCTTCTCCATCCTGAGAGGGGTTTTTGGGGCAAAGAATTGTTTTTTTTAATTGTCTACAGCGTTGTCTCAATGTGTGTTGCACATTACACTTTTTTTTTAATCTAACATGCAAATTTGCTTACGATATTTTTCTTCACCGCCGACCCCGTAGTAAATTGGGATTCAAAATTGCAATAATTAACAATTTAAGTGGTGCCGGCAAGGATCGAATCCGGACTGCTCGCTTACTGAGTAGTTCACGACGACTCCTTAAATACCACTACTCTGGAAGTTCCAGAATAATATAGTGGTAGATCTATGCTGCAGCTATATAATGGTTGTAGCACAAATACACTCTCACAGAATAACAGCGTGAAACAGCAGATTAATGGTGCTGTGTTTCCTATGGTGAGTGTAGAGAACACCCCTTTTCACTAGAAACAAGGCATTCCACCTTAGTCTTTAGGGGTGACAACGCATCTGAAATTTAATTCTTAATCGATGATAGACATAGATATCACAGTATTCACTTACGAAGAGGTGGACTGTGCGCTCATTTGTCTCTCTTATTATATAAAAAAAGAAACAAGAAAAAATTTGATGAAAATATCCATATTCATAATTAATAGAATCAGGCGTTACTTTGCGGAAATCCATTATATAAAAGCTTTTACAAAAATTTACTTCGCAAATATCCGCGTTATAAAATAAAATGATGTGTCTTACCTAGTATGAAGAAGCACCTGCCGCCCTCCCTTCATTGCGTGCACTATCCCCGTCACCACTAATCCCAGCACCGCTACTCCCAACACCACTACACTAGGCAAGACACATCACTGACGATAATACGACACGTGTTTCGCCTCTACACGAGGCATCCTCAGGTGATATAGACTCTACGGTGGCTAGCCGCTAAGTGAGCGGCGAGCCAAAACAAGTGCCTTTTATACAAACCGATGATGCAACCGCTCTCTACCTAAGGAGCGAGCGACTGCGTCATGCGATAAAACATGCGACCAATCACCGCTGGACTTACGCAGCCGTTTGTAAAATTAAAAACAAACCGCCGCGCAACGCCCACCCTCCAACCACGCAACCAATCGCCGATCACCGTGAGGGTGAAAAACAACCATATTGCGTGGCTCTCTATTATTAGAGAGCAGGCTTGAAGATATTTAAGGGAGGTGAGTTAGTAACATTTGTTTGTTCATTCAGCAATGCAACGGTATTACTATTAGATTTTAATATTTCTAACTGTTCCAGCACACACAGTCGCAGCTCTTTATTACACGTATGTAAGACTTTAAAGGAGTGGTCGTTGGCTAGGTTGTGTCCAGTTTCCAAAAGATGTTTGGCAAAATGGGATTTATTGGGATTGCAATTCCTGTACGCGGCTAAATGCTCTTTATAACGTGTCTCGAAATTGCGACCAGTCTGACCCACGTAAACGGCGTGGCATTCGTCACAAACAAGTTTGTAAACACCTGACTTTTGACGAATATCCAACTTATCTTTACTATTACAGATATTTCTAAGAGAATTGTTTGTTTTGAACGCCACATGAACGCCGTTTTGTCGAAGAGTATTAGCTACTTTTTCAGATATGGGGCCTAAGTAGGTCAAACTGCTCACATATCGATGAACACTTTGAGGTTGAACCGCGTACAGAGAGTTGCGAATAAGAACGGTTTTTCAAAAAATCTCATTAACAATTTAATTAAAAAGAAACAAAAGCATTGCAAAAGCAGGTAGAGAGCGGTTACATCATCGGTTTGTATAAAAGGCACTTGTTTTGGCTCGCCGCTCACTTAGCGGTTAGCCACCGTAGAGTCTATACCACCTGAGGATGCCTCGTGTAGAGGCGAAACACGTGTTGTATTATCGTCAGTGGTGTGTCTTGCCTAGTGTAGTGGTGTTGGGAGTAGCGGTGCTGGGATTAGTGGTGACGGGGATAGTGCACGCAATTGAGGGAGGGCGGGAGGTGCTTCTTCATACTAGGTAAGACACATCATTTTATTTTATAACGCGGATATTTGCGAAGTAAATTTTTGTAAAAGCTTTTATATCCATATTCAATAAATAAAAATAACCTTTTTAAAATGAAAAGTTAAAACCTAATATTAGCATGGATTTACATGAAAACATCAAACACCTCAGTGTCCCAGTAACTAAGGATGTTGTTGCACTTTCAATCTCACTCGAACACTCTCGAAACATTGGGGATGGTCACTTGACTGTCCACCAACAGCTACAACGCGTCTCACGATATGTCAACGTAGAGCACGATTCATATTTGTGGCGGCGGGATGGGAATTTAACTAAAGTATTTCACATTGTAATGAAATTTAAGCGGGAAGCCTTCTATGTTCTTATTGAACTACTGTAGTTATATTTTGTTGTCAGTCTGTAGGTAATCTACATATTTTAATCATAATGAAGCATGGTAGTCCAAGTAGCTTCCAAGGTTACGTTATTTTTGTAGGCGGTAAAAATATAGTATATAGGTACTGTTAACTCCTTCGCAGTTCAGGCTACACGTCTTTAGAACTCCTTGCCCGATGACACAGAAAAGCAAATCAGTAAGTATGCTTTTACACATTATGTACGTAGTTAATGCTCGTCTTTATTTCACGAACACGAGAAAATATAATTTTCCTATTCTATATTTTCTACGTCTTTTTAAATGTATAAGTAATTCATTCGCTGGTGATTCGCCATTTTTGAAACTGTTGAACTTTACTGTGTTAAAATTGAATAAAATTAAATAAAAAAGTAAGGATATTTAACTTTACGAAGAAGTATTTTTAATATATTTTATGATTAAACAATATGAATCGTTAAATCTATACATATAAATAAAATTGAAAAATAACTGCCTTCTATTAAACTCATGGGGTTATTTACATCTTGTTAAGATAAAAATCAATGAATATATCACGTTTCTGGAGTGAGGCACAGATTCGACAAAGCGAAATACAAAAAAATCCTATGGCATGTCATAGCATTTTATAAAATTTAAATTGACTAGTGGGATATTAAAGAAACATTATGGTGATGTTTCTTTTTGAGTTTCTGATGACGATACGATATTTTTATTTTAATATTATACAACAATCACAAAAACACAAAAATCACGACTTCAAGATATTTAAACGCATTTGAATTTAGCACTGCATCATTAGTCTATATATAATATAAGTAATAAAGGCCTATACCTTTACGATATCAAAAAAGGGTACTTTTATGTTTTTTTTTAAGGTGATTGAGAAAATCGTAAGGTTTCTCAATTATACGAGCGCGATTGTTTATGAACATTGTAATAAAACTTTATTTCACTGACCGGTATTTGATTCCCTCCAAAAGTGGTAATAATAATAATAATAATAATTAAAAATAATTAAAAAGGCGTAGGGAAGTGACGACTCCATCGCCCGCTAAAGGCGTAGGGAAGTGACGACCCCATCGCCCGCTGACGTAACATTTAAGTGACAAAACTGCTATGTCAGCGCAGTCAGTCAGTGCCTTGCCAAGAGGTGAGAGCGCCGTGCCTCGGCAGTATTGAGGGTGCAAAGACCCGTTTGTGCTTACGGCCACACTATTAAACGGCGCCGGGTTTGGGCGTCTCCCGTTAATTGACGCCCAATTTAATGGATGATGGAAAAAAATAGAACGCGCATAGGGCCGTTGCCTGGGGGTCGCCGGGGCGCGTCTGGAGCTGGCGCTGGACGTGACAGCATGCGAGCCGCCAGCCGAGCGCGAGGTGCTGCACGACCACCTAGCAGCCCCTCGCGTCCATCATCCCCACCAGACGGCTTGGTGTCGGCGGGGTCCTCTCGGACTCGGCAAGCGGCACCCGCCGCTGGTGGCGTACGCCGCATGCGCTGGACAAAAAATATGAACATAAACGCATTTCGGGCGTACTATAGGGCGATAGGGGAAGAAACTGGAGGGATAGCGTATCGGGCTCGGATGCATCGCTTTTTTTTGCTGAGCTTGAGCCGTCAGTTCCCGTCACGGAGCAAAACCTGGCAGACCGAGGTCGGTACATCATACGCTCGAAAATATTTGATGATGCCGAACTCGAACGACTACGACGTGAGGCTATTCCCTCATCGAATGAACCGGCTATAGCTGGGGATGCAGCTCTTCAGGCCACAGACCAGCAGCCACATATAGAGGGCGCCATGGATCTTTCCGATCTGGTTGATTCAGGCGATGATGGAATGGTCACCCAAGAACTAGAGCAGATGAGGAGTAAATTGGAGGAGGCGAAAACGCGCAGTACGCCTCTCGAAAATCGACCGCGACTCCCGCGCATACCCCTAAGCAAGCGGAATCGGGCTGTCGTGAGGGCTCTCAACCCAATGCTGGTGACCTATTTGGAAGCCAGCCGGGACCTTTGCGAGATG